TTTTTTTTTTTTTTTCTTTTTTTTTTTTTTTTTTTTAGCTGAACCACAGTGATGTAGTAATCCTTTGCATGAGTTTTTGGAGAACCAAAATTATGTGGATGCATGGATGGGAAACATTTTAAAAAACAAAAATAATATAATTCCCCTTTTTAATGAGATGTCATATATTCTAAAAGCTACAATTCCTTATTTTACTTAAATCATGAAATCCTTAAGATTAAAAATAGGATACAGAAGTCTCCATGAACCTCATAACCCGCCATGGATATTGGTAAAAATAGCATTATATTTGTGACTTTTGTTTTACTCCTAGAAAGAAGAGGCTCGAGAAGCGGCAGAAGCCATGAGAATAGAGCGAGAACAGATTATACAGCAAATTGAACAAGAACGATTAGAGAGAAAGAAGGTAAGCGTCCACATTACTGATAGGACTTGCATTCTCTGCCAACACATGTTTGCAATGTGGAATTACATCTGTCAATGGAGGTCAATGTGAAGGCTAATGGGTATGAACAGAGGGATTTTGACGAATTTACAGATTTCACATTTGGTTAAATTTCCCCAAAGTGGAAGTTCTCTTATTTGCCCGTTGAGCTGCTTAGGTGAAAATTGATTGGGGAAACTATTTTAGGTTTTATTACAACTATTTATTTATATAGCGCCAACATATTCTGCAGCACTGCACAATCGTTTAGACAAGTAAGAAACGCTGACAAGCATCATTGACAGGGCTTGAAAAAGTTGATAGTGTCTCACCAGTCAGTCTGCAGCCCACAAAACGCGCGTCAAACGCGCGTTTACAAGGGCTATCCGGCTGTATCCTAATGGATACGCGCAGAAATACGCCCCAAAGAAGCTCCTGTACTTCTTTGGGCATAGGGCGTTTTTCAGCACGTTCCGACACGCTGAAATATGCCCAAGTAAGAACAATGCCCTTAAAAAATAATTGGATTTCACTGGCAGGGCGTTTTACAGTGCGTCGATCAGCGCTGTAAATCGGCCAGATGTGAACCCAGCCTTAATGGCTCTAAAATTATTGCTCTCACTCGGTTTGCGGCGATATGCAACATGTGCGGCACGTAGGCGCATCTGATGCATATATGCGTGTGTATGTGGGGGGCGCGGACTTAAAAAAATGTTTAAAAAAATAAATGTTATGCTTCTTTATTTTTTTAATCAATCTTTCATTTTTCTATTACATTTTTTTAATACTTTTTTTTTTTTACACACACACAACTTTATTGCTATTACATGGGGGGCTAAGAAGCCCCCTATGGGATAGCCAATTTACATGACAGGTCCTCTTTATGGAGACATCAGGGGTCTCGAGGACCCCTAATGTTACCTAGGGACCTCCAGAGAAGCTGATGAAGCATAGATCGGCTTCATCAGCTTCTCTAGCTGGAGAGTGACACTGAATGCAGGAAGTGATGCAATATACATCACTTCCTGCATTCGGGGACTGAGAGGAGATCAAAGGGAGTTCGTGTACTGAACTCCCTTTGATCTCCTGTCACAGAGCCGTGCCGGTCCCGGCCGCATCGGGCACAGCGGATCTCGGGACCGGCAACGGCAAGGACAGCTTCTGATACAAGCAATCGAGCGTCTCTCGAGACACTCGATCGCTTGACTGTAAAGCTCCCGGCCGGCCGTGTAATTACTACGGCCGGCCCGGGAAGCTGCTCGTCGGGCTCCACTGTCTGCTCGTCGCAGACGAGTGGATTTTCGAGCCCTGATCATTGACATACAGGAACATTTGTTGAGGAGGACCCTGCCCAAACGAGCTTACAGTCTATGAGTCGGCGACGAAAGTGGCAAAAAAGCTCATGTTCCACGTTTGTGTGCGTTTTATTGTATGCTATACGCAAATGCGGATCAAAAATGCATGTCAGCCTTCTTTTATCCAAACCACAAAACAAAATGTAATCTATGGCAGTTTACCAGTCTTTGTGTGGTGGCTGCATTAATTGTCTTTGTTTAGGCATTATTCCTTTTTTTTCACCTGGTAATTCTGCCAATAACGCACTTCATGTCCTAGTATTCTCCCTGTCCTCTTGTCCATTACAAAGACGTGGTTCTGTAGTCTTCAGAACAATAATAGATAACAGTGCAGCATAGGCAAAGTGTACAGAAAGTTATCCATTAAGATTTTTGGCAAGTTGTACAGAATTTTGTTTGCACTTATCAAACCGCTTTAACAAAATGCTTTAAATGGTATAACAGACAAGAAGTTAGTTTACTTCTCGTCTGTTATACCATTTAAAGCATTTCGTTAAAAAAGAACTTTACTCTTAGGGTTTGAACACCCTTGAACCTTTGTCATCAAGTGTGTGTACCTTCCTGTTTAGGTACTTGTAATCAAAGCATAGTTCCATTAATATCTAAGCTCACGTTTCAGATAATAAGTTATAAGCTTCTTAAATGGGCAACTGTGCATTATCTATACTAGAAATTGGGCCAGTATAGGTACTTTTGCATACTGTTATGTCAATGTTATTTATTAGTAACTAATTACATAAAGTATTTGTGTAAAAAAAGTGATTACTAATTACTGGTTAATAATTTTTGTCTGTACTGCTTTAAATAGTGTTAGTCTGGTTCTCTTATTGTAAATTAAGTTGGTCTATGTCTGCCTAATAATTGTCATTATTAAACATTAGCTGATCATGCAAGTTTTTTCTTTTTTTAGCAAAGGAAGCCTAGAACATCTAAATGTAGCTTATAAACTGGTTGGGCCTGTTCTAAACTAATTTTTCAGAATGAGCAGATCAACATCTGTGGTCTGTAAATGTTTGGTGAAATTAAAAAAAGAACAATAATAGAAACAATTTGAGACAAATTCTGATGTTTTTCTTTGTACAGAGAATTGATGAGATCATGAAAAGGACAAGAAGAGGTGATGTTCAAGAAGCAAAGGTAATCGTCTTTGTGATTGCTTCTCTGTTTTCAATGACGCATGCAAATTGGTATCTAAAATTAAAAATTATGATTGATGTACCATTAAAGAAGGTGTGGTATTTTAAGCTATATTGGGTAGGAAAAGTAGTGACAATTGTAACCTAGACAGACAAGTAAGATCTGGGAGACAGTTAAGACTTTACCTGTGTGTAGCAGTGACGTGCCGTGCCTTCTGTGCTGGGTGAGGCATCCTCCGCCCTGCCCCATCCCACCGAAGCTCTGCCCCACCACATTGAAGCCCCTCCCCATCCTGATGAAGCCCCACCCCCAGCTCAGTAACCAAGCTTTGTGGGGAGGAGCATTGGTCACTGGTGAGGCATTGAAATAGATGGCCTCAGTGTTTTTGTTTTTTGTAAATTGTTATGATTGGACACTTTGCCATTGGTCCAAGTCATCTACAGAGCTCACGCCTCTAACACAGAGTAGAGGCTGTGACCGCACTTGCCTCACCAAGTTGGGTTACACAAGCAGTGGGGAAACCCGCTGCTGTGTAACCTAACTACCTGTCAGAAGCCGGATGCAGCGGCGCCTGTAATTAACAGGCAGCGCTCCGTCCATGAAGGTTACACAGCGAGGAGGCTTTCCCTGCTGTGTAACCTGTAACAAGCTGATCTGAATGGAGAAAAAGCTGTCGGCTTCAGACTTGAAGCTGATGTCTTTTTCCTCCATAATACTAGGTGAGACTATGCCTCACCGGCCTCCCCTGACCGCACGTCCCTGGTGTGTAGTTGCTCTTACTCAGGCTGCCATTGCTAAATAAAAAAACTCTGCTGCCTGGATGCCTGTTAAGTTTAGAATCATTAAGTTGCTCTAAAATTACTGTGTAGGTGATTGTATGATCGCAAGTATGCTCATTTGAAAGCTGTTAGGGATGAACGTGATTGTTCGGTTAATATGTACAGTAAATGTATTGGATTGTGTACAACTATCCAAGATACCTAACCGGTGTACTAGATGCGGTACAAGCTTTGCCCAGTTCCATTTCTGTATAATTTTGGATTGTAGGCATGCAATGTTAAATAGAATGTTTTATGTTTTGACTGTTTTCAGAAAGAGGAACCAAAACCAGAGAGTCAGTCACCTTTCAATTCTGAAAATCTAACAAAGGATAATGAAACAGGTGGGTTAATTTAGATTTAAAGAAACAAGCCTACCATTTTGTAGTATACCATGGAATAGGATTTGATGTATGGCAGAAAACTGTTTCATAGGACACACAGGGTACTGCAGTACATTTAATTCACTTTTAGTATGTCTATATTTGTGTGTATGTATGTAGAGTAAACTCTGTTATCTGGTATTTAACTAACTGGAACTCTCATTTAACCAGCAAAAAAAAAAAAAATCCATTGTGCACTCACTTTTTTTTGCCGATCTGCAACCTTGTAGGGGAGGGAGAGAGGGCTCTGCAGCATGGAAAGGTAGAGAAACGGGATGAAAAGTGTAGTATTATCCTGTGAATGATTGTCTGTGAACAGGCCCCACCTAGTGATCACTCACAGTACTGCACTGTATAGCTCATAGATTACAATACATACTGATCTCCAGTCCCAATGTCAGGCACACAGTGCACACAGCATTAGAGCACCTGTATTACATATATGTATATGTATGTGTTTATGTATATATATATATATACATTGTATATATATTGTGTGTATATATGTGTGTGTGTATATATGTGTGTGTGTGTGTGTATATATATGTATATATATATATAAAATTAGGGATGCACCGATATATCGGCCAAATATGGCACTTTTGGCTAAATGCCGAAAGTGGCATTTTTCTGCTGATACAGCGCCGCATCCTTTCTTTCTTTCCTCCCTGCTGGGCGCTGCTCCGTGTGAGGAGAGAAAGTGTGACAGTCGGCCGAGCGCTGCGGGAGGAGAGCGCTGTGAGCGGCCGGCGTTTCTCCTCCCACACCGCTCAGCCTCCTGTCACAGTCCGGCAGAACGGTGTGTGGGCGGAGACAGCCAGTGCTGTCACAGGAAGAATTTGACACCAGTATTATTTCACAGTGAACTGCAGCCATGTTTAACAAAATATTTTTTGGAGCACTTGACTGATCACTCAGCACTTTTTATTTATTGACAATTTTATTTAGTATAGAGTTACACAAAGCACTGCATATATTATTTTTATTGTTTAAAGATCTGATTTCAAAAGGGTCACACAGCTGCTAGGGAAAGTACCAGAGACTTCTATACTTGTGCACGGTTTGTTTTATACTTGTATAACTATTTGCAAACTGTATTATTTTACTACCTTTCTTCTAATATCCTGTTTGCTAGTATGGTAGCGTTGTATTGTAATCTCTTTTTCCAAATACACTGGAGATCTGTACCTTGCATGCTGTATGAGGGCAGGGGTTCATGTTTCTATTTCATGTTTCCACTGTACTATCGGTAACAATCACACACGCCTTGCACCACAAACATTATCCCCCGTACAACCTCATATAAGGTCCCCGTGTGCTCTCTGTTCCGCATCAACAACCCATGTATACAAATATATTTTCCAAGTATTCACTTCAAAACTTAGAGTAGGCTGTTTTATAAATAAATACAATTCTACATACATATGTGTGCTTATGTATTTATTTTTTATTGTTCCCCCCGGATACTGGTATTTTAGTGCAAGTCAATGGGTTATCCTCCCATACAGAAGAAACAAAACCTGTTGTGGCCATCATTGATACCAAGCCTCAAGAATTGTTCTCCAGTGGCCTGAAAAAAAACGTTGGCCTTATCCAACTTGATGCTTTTGAAGGGAAATGTAACAGTCTGGATGATTCCACGGATGAAGTTCAGTCAATGGATGTGAGGTACTTAATTAGTTAAAAACCAGCAACATATTATACTGCATGTCAAACGTGTCTTACAAATGTAATTCATTTAGATAACAGACCATGATTGATGAGGGCCGTTCCTATATAATCTTATATTTAAAGTGCTGATGTAAGTGGAGCACTAGACCGAGGAGTTTTATTATGAAAATATATCTAAAGAATTTAACCAACAGTCAAGGGTCGCTCATGATGGTCCAAACAAGTGTTCCCTGTTAATCTACCTTGAAATTCCACTAAATGTTTAGTAATCTTATATATGTTGCCTGCAACTGTACCCATCTTCTCAAAGCCCCAGAGCAGAGGGAGCTCAATAGGGTTGTCACATAGCACACATTGCATGCTGCGTGTAGGCTTTCAGTGGTTACAACAAGTATATTTTATACACAGGAAAAATGGGATAAGGATAAGGAGTAATAGTGGTTGTTGTAGGATTTTTATTTTAAATTGTATATGGTTGCCTTATACATACTGTTGAGATTTAAGTACAACTATACCTAAAAGGTAAAAATCCATACAATCTGTGGGTACAACTATACCATAAATTGAGAAATCCCGTTTGTATTTCTAGGAAATCCATACATATAACTATAAAATTACACTTCTGTTTTTCTTTCACGAAATACCTGGTAATCTGCCAGCTCTTCAGTCTTTGTCCAGGAGGGTGACAACGCTGCAGGGCCTGTAGTAAGGACACTGCAGCATTGTCACCCTAGCAGCTGCAAAGGGTTGCATCACTACATACGCTGAGGTGGAGGAGGATTGTAGCATTGTAACTACTGAAAGTCCGTCCACCTCCCTTCAGTCATTGCAGAATACATAATCCAAGAGGGCACCCTATGTCTGAGGGAAGTGACACAGGGCATCATCTTGGATACCAGCTCTGGCAGAGAGAAGAGAATGACAAGCTTTGTGAGGGGCAAAGTAGAGGGCTACATCACCTAGGAGAAGGCAAGTTGAAAATAAAAGAGGGAGGCTGGCGAGTTCAAAGTAAAGTCTTTTACTCAGAGATTGACTTTACCTGTCATGAGAGAAACATGGAGGTTTTACATTGCTCTCTTCTGAAGATGCTATTTCCCTAGCTGCCATACTGATCCTCTTGGTTCAAGACTTGTATTCATGAAATCAATTCACAGAACAAGCATGCAAGTAAAGAATTCTGATTTCTATGCATGCCTGATACAGGTCAGTGACTCAAGCAGTATTCGACCCAATGGCTCAGCACAGCTGCCAGACAATTACCATTTTTAAACGGAAGTCCACAATGTGATCCCCCTGTAGGTGGAGTTTAACAAGTATGGGAGGTGGACCTGATTGGTATTGAATGATAGGGTAAATTTCCATCTAGTATATCCTGAAACCCTTTACAATAACGGGTGGAATGTTTACCTTTCTTTCCTTTTCCCTTTGCAGTATATAACATGCATTTTTATTTGTACAGCGTGTATCTCTATAAGTAACTGTCAATATTTCCTCGCAGTCCAGTATCTAAAGAAGAACTCGTATCCATCCCAGAATTTTCACCGCTGAATGACCTCAATCCAAGCGTTTCTTTGGGGCAAAATGGGACTAATAATTCCAGAGCCTTGGAGGACCTTCTGGATTTCACCGGCCAGGCCACCTATTCCAAGATCTCCAGCGAAAGTATACACATTGATGACTGTAATAGAAACCTTATTGATGGATTTAACAGTCCAGGACAAGAACCCAAACTTAACACAATCTGCTGAATTACACAGCACATAGTAACATGGGTAATGTTTCATTTAGTGTATTTATGCATGTAGAGAAAAGACCAAATCCAGTCAGAGGACAACCATCACAGGATGAACTTGGTTAGCTAATTATGGGATAATGTTACCTTTTTTTATTTGTTCACCGCTACTTTTTTTTTTTTTTTTTTAACCTTTTTATTTTTTTCTAAGCCCTCTGTGGTGTCACTAGTGATGCTAAAGTGACAACAAGAAATGGAACTAAACATGTTAGAATTGGGTTGCAAAACTGACCTAAAATGGTTTAGGATTATGAATGGTATTCCTAAAATGGAAAAATAAAACTTTCATAGACTGCTGGAATGGGGCTGCCTGTCTTAGATGTAGTGGCAGCTGCTTGCATATGCTGCAATTGCATCTAAGAACTAGTTGCAGTATCCTGCATAATGCTGCCTCCATTCTTAAGGCTAGAAATCCAGGAAAGACACAAATGTAAAATGGCACCAACATAAGGGTATGTAACCCCTAGCAATGAACTGCTTTTTTTGTTCCTTCTTAAATCTGTTAATATGCCATTGAAGGTGTTTTTGTTATGTGATTTGTCAGATTAAAATACCTGTTGATCCTGCCTGAAATCTTATTAACTGATAACCTTCTGTGCTGCATTCTTATCAACTACATTGTTCCTCGCTATTTATGCGATGCAGAAGTGGAGAGGGGAAGTTGTTGTAGTCCTGTCCATTAATAGAGTATGGTGAGTGAGAGCCGTCCCCCTATGACATGAAGTGTCTTACTGGCAAAGTCACCAGCTGAAAATAAAAAAAAATGAATAAAAAATGAATGCAGCCACCATATCCAAGAAATGGCAAGCTGCAATATATAACATAGACAATCTCAGATGGGCTGTGCAGCATCTATGGTGGGCTCTGCAGGGTCACTCTTAGGTGGGTCCTGCGTCCAGCGGCTCACTGATCCCTGCGTCCAGCGGGTTGCTGATCCCTGAGCCAAATTCATATACTGTTCTGCATTGCTGTATAAATATATATAACATTTTTGTTCTTGGGTTTAAATACACTTTGAAGAGGAACAGAAATATGGAACCTGTACCCAAAAGAAGGCAGGCAAGGGGTAAATGACTATAGTCATCAGCATTGCCCTTTGGTCTCGCTGCAGCTGATCTTGGCCAATTGTTGACATGCTTTGCTCTGCACTCTATCTCTGTGTGAAGGTGGCAAATCATGTCTTTCAAGGTCTTTGCTTCCTCAGAGCCTTCAGTAAGAACAACAGTGAGCACTACAGCATTGACATCTCCAGATCTCATCTTCAGAGGCAGCAGTGCCTTAATTCAAGTGGCACCAAACTCCAGAATTAAATCTTAAAAATGCATTTAAGTACCTTTTAACTATTTTATTTATTATCGGTATTTATATAGCGCCAACAATTTACACGGTGCACATTCACATCAGTCCTTGCTCTCAAGGAGCTTACAATCTAAGGGTACCAGGGGCAATTTAAGCAGGAGTGTGGTAGGAAACCGGAGTACCCAGAAGAAACCCATGCAAGCACAGGGAGAACATGCAAGCTCCTTGTAGATAGTGACCTGACTGGGATTCGAACCAGGGACCCCCAGTGCTACAAGGCAGAAATACTAACCACTACGCCACTGTGCAGCCCAACTATTCTACTACTTTTGTTCCCCATGATCCCTGTGTGTGTGTTGTAAATTAGTCACCGCTCCACGCTTGCTCCAGTAATGGACTACAATCTCACGTTTAGTTTACTACTTTGTATCGAGACTGTACTCCATCGAGCTTGGTGCAATTATTAGGACAAATTCTAAACTAAAGGTAGATTTTCAGCGTACTACTTAGGCCCAATTAACATTTCTATATGTTGTCTGTAGCATAACAAGCAAACCTTCACTTTTTGAGTTCCACTTTAGGGAGTGTGTGGGAAAGGTCCCTGCTATCAGGCTTTTTGCATTTTTCCTCTTGCCAACAGTGGTCAGTTTGCACCTTTTTTAACATGGCTTACTTTATTACCAGTTGCTCTCACTTTAGTGTACTCCTGGTGATGCCATACGTGATTTATATAGAAAAAACAGGCAGACAGAGTGAGAAGTGAAAATAAAATCCATGGTGAAAGTCAAATTTAATTATGTCACAGTCATAGGTATATATTATGATTGTTAAATCTAGCCAGTTTATATTTTAGTTTTGGATAAATTGGGGTAGAGTTAAAATATTTTTCAGGTGTTAATTTCTTTGCAGATTTTCCCTCACTTCCTGTCACAGTGACACGCACCTATACATGAAAGAGGGGGTAAGGGTGTAACTGGAACAGGAATGCACGGACCGCAACAAAGTAAACATTTCTAAACCTTCCACACTCTTCTAAAAAAAAAAAAAGTGTTTGGTCAATTATGGAGAGTATTCCTATTATTTTCTATCCTGACAGAAAGTGAAGTTAAAAATCTCCCCAACAGGGGCATAGCAGTAAAAACAGAGGTGCTTGACCTTCCCTGCACAATTGGAAACCAAGTAAAACATTGTTGGGTTTTTTGTGATTTCCTTGTAACGATCTCTGTCTTGTACATGTGCAGAAATGTTTTGTCTGTTGGTTTTATCATTAGCTTATCGTAGAATAAGCTGGTCTAACCAAGTAAAAAAAAAGTCATGACATGTGAATCTTTCATAAAGACAAATGATCTACTCTGATGAACCAGTGTAGCATTTTCCTCCCCTGAGGTGATGTGCATGGTCACATGTCCTGGTCACATGTGCAGGAGTCCCGGGAAGGAAGGGAGATATATTATTGCCCTTAATAAAAATGGCCACTGTGAAAAGAATGGGGAGGAAAAGAAAAATAAGGTATACAAAGAATAAAAAGCCTGCAATTATCTAGAAGTATGTGTTTGTAGATTGTCATTACTAAACATTTCTAAAGGTATATTTGTTGTCATTTCAAATATATGGGTAAAGTTCCTCTTTACATGTAAGTGCACTTACAGTTTTCTCAGTTTTTCACTTCGTTCCCCCCCGCAAAGTCCCACAAATACCTGTTGAGTCTACAAGTGAAGTCCACCTAATGCATCTTCCCAGGGCCGCCATCAGGGGGGTACGGCAGATACTCATGCAAAGGGCCTGGGGGGCCCGCCCGGGACCCTTAGATGAGTATCGGGCGACGGTGAATGGCGAGAAGGCGGCCAGGCCCCCGCAGCAGTGGACTGGCCCTAGCAGGGCAGGACCCCAGCATTGCCGCTCCAGCGGCTTAAAGACAAGCTGGGGCCCCATCAGCGACGCTGCTCACCTGAAGTCGGACTAGCTGGGAGTGACGGCACGTTAGTGACGTGACTTCCGGCCAGTCCGGCGGGAGAGGAGGCCTGGTGTGCAGGTAAGAGGAGCTGGGAGGGAGGGGGATGAAGCCCTGACCAGCCCACCTGAGACCCCTTCAGAGCCCACCATAGACAGTCTCAGATGGGCTGTGCAGCGGTATATGCCAGAGCTATATAAATGTATAATAGTGCGTGACTGTGGGGTGAGATTAGAGTGTAAGCTCCTCTGTACAGAGACTGATGTAACTGGCTCAGTGTTCTCTTTACAGTACTGCGGTATATGTCAGAGCTTTATACATGTATAATAGTGTGACTGGCTCAGTGTGGCGGGGGAGTGGGGGGATTTCTGCTGGCTGCCCTGCATCTTCCTGCAATGGTGTGGCAAAGAGGCTGCACTGCTCCTGATGTCAGAGCAGAGTTGCCACCCATGTGTAGGCTGTTGCTGGTTGCACAACAGTGGAATAAAAACAAATGTTGTAGGGGACGTGGCTGTAAACCTTGTCACTGCTGATTCTCAAGCCTGTAGCTTGTCAGTCAGCAACTGGCCACATGTAGTCATGCCCACGGCTTTCTAGATTGACGGCACTGGCTCTGTTGCTGAAAATGTTTGCAGTGTTTGGGAGGGGGAGCATGTGAGACACTAAGGCCTGATTCACACCTAGGCGTCACCATTTTGTGGTGTTTTTACGTGCGCTAGCATGCGGTTATTTGCGCATTGTGCACATTTTAAATAAAAGCTACACATCATGAAGAGATCCAAGGAAATCCAGGAACAAATGAGAAAGAAAGTAATTGAGATCTATCAGTCTGGAAAAGGTTATAAAGCCATTTCTAAAGCTTTGGGGACTACAGCGAACCACAGTGAGAGTCATTATCCACAAATGGCGAAAACATGGAACAGTGGTGAACCTTCCCAGGAGTGGGCGGCCAACCAAAATTACCCCGAGAGCGCAGCGACAACTCATCCAAGAGGTCACAAAAGACCCCACAACAACATCCAAAGAACTGCAGGCCTCACTTGCCTCAGTTCAGGTCAGTGTCCATGACTCCACCATAAGAAAGAGACTGGGCAAAAATGGCCTGCATGGCAGAGTTGCAAGACGAAAACTGCTGCTGAGCAAAAAGAACATAAAAGCTTGTCTCGGTTATGCCAGAAAACATCTTGATGATCTCCAAGACTTTTGGGAAAATACTCTGTGAACTGACGATACAAAAGTTGAACTTTTTGGAAGGTGTGTGTCCCATTACATCTGGCGTAAGAGTAACAACGCATTTCAGAAAAAGAACATTATACCAACAGTAAAATATGGTGGTGGTAGTGTGATGGTCTGTGGCTGTTTTGCTGCTTCAGGACCTGGAAGACTTCATGGTTCCATTCATCACAGCAATTCTGCTGTCTACCAAAAAATCCTGAAGGATAATGTGCGGCCATCTGTTCGTGACCTCAAGCTGAAGCAAACTTGGGTTCTGCAGCAGGACAATGATCCAAAATGCACCAGCAAGTCCACCTCTGAATGGCTGAAGAAAAACAAAATTAAGACTTTGGAGTGGCCTAGTCAAAGTCCTGACCTGAATCCTATTGAGATGCTGTGGCATGACCTTAAAAAGGCGGTTCATGCTCGAAAACC